AGTGACTGAACGGGGCCGTGTGGTGTCACCAGAAGGTGGCGCTGTGGCCGACACGCTGCTAATAAACAGGGACGTCTTCACCATTCTCCATCTGTTTTTAATCCCTTTTCATCCAGCCTTTCCCTCCTTTCACCTCGTTGGATTTGGACAGATTTTGTGCAGGTTTTTGTCACTTTGGACACATTTTTAGTCACGTCGAGCAAATTTAAGTCAATTCTTTGTCAATTTGTGGGTCATTTTGATCCATTTTTGATCATTGTTTGATCATCTGGGACGGATATTTGGTCAAGTTTTAAGTACGTTTGTTCAGATTTTTCCTCCTTTGAGGGATTTTTAGTCACGTTGAACAAATTTCAAGTCAATTTAGTTTAATTTTGAGTTGCTTTGGACAAGTTCTGGTACTTTTGGACGATTCCTGATCCATTTTGAACCATTTTTGAGTATTTTTTTGACGTGCTTTTATCATATTGGACAGATTTTTGGACATTTTGGACACAATTTGTGTCATTTCACACAAGTTTTAGGTCTGTTTGCACAGATGTTTGTCACCTTTGACAAATTTTTTGTCATGTCAACCAAATTTCAAGTCAATTTTGGCAGGTTTTGAGTTGCTTTGGAAAAGTTTTGGTGCTTTTGGCCGATTTGTGAGGAATTTTTTGACATGCTTTTATCATGTTGGACAGATGTTTGGACATTTTGGGCAAGTTTTATGTTACTTTGAACACAATTTGTGTACATTTCCACAAGTTTTAAGGACTTTTGCTCAGATTTGTTCCACCTTTGACAGATTTTTTTGTCACGTTAAACACATTTCAAGTCAATTTGGTCCCATTTTGAGTTGCTTTGAGCAAGTTTTGGTGCTTTTAGACATTTCTGGATGATTTTTGAGCCATTTTAAACCATTTTTGAGGAATTCTTTTGACATGCTTTTGACACATTGGACAGATGCTTGGACAAGAAACTAGGCAAGGACTAGAAACCTGTATTTTGTGAACTTTTTCTCATGTGAGCTGCAGAAAAAGAGAGTAAAGGAGGAAATAATGGAGAGGATGGATGATGATGAAGAAACAAGAAGGAGGAAAAAAATGAAATGAAACAGAAAAAAAAAAAAAAAAACAATGAAGAAACAAGAAGGAGGAAAAAAATGAAATGAAACAGAAAAAAAAAGAATAAAAAGATGAAAGGAGGAAAAATTAGAACTAAAGGAAGCCAAGGAGGAAAAGACTGAAGTGTGACTACAGAGCGCCCTCCAGTGGTGAAATACAGAAAGTACAGGAGTCTGAGTTTAGCTTCTTAAATTCACCGTCTGATTTTAGATTTAAATACGATGCAGCTCAACACAGTGGAATAAACAGACCAACGGACCAGATCAGGAGGAAAAAACATCAAACCAAAGTAAAACTAAAGACGATGCTTTAGTGAGACATCAAACTGCATGTTGACTGAATAAAAACTAGATTAAATATTTCATAGTGGACGTCTGGAAGTGGACAGGAAAAGAAAACTGAGGTTTGTAAATACAAATAAACACCAATAAGTGAAAGAAAAGCTCAAAGTTTTAAACAGAAATAACAAAAAACATTCATCTGTTTGATAAAATATGTGTTTTAATTAAAAGTCAAACATTTGATCCTCTGAAAACTGTGGTCGAACAAACGACACGTAAAACTAACACTATGGTTTATTTCCATCATTTATAGATGTATATAAATATACAGTTTGTGTAACAGTACCTGGTGTTTTTGTCGTGGAGTTTGGTTTTGGTCTCTGCTTTTGTTTTTGTGATTCATTTCTGTGTTTTTCTTTTTCCTCGTCTCTGTTCATGTCAGTTGTGTCCTGTTTACTTCCTGTTTTATTTTGAAATGGTCTTTCCTTGTGTGTTGCTTGTGTTTTTATTTGTGTTATTTTCCCTCCTTTGGTTTGGCCTCTGGCTGCTCAGTGGTTAGCACCGTTAGCGCCTCACAGCTAGAAGGTCGCCGGTTGGCGTCCCGGTGAGGACACCCGGGATCTTCCTGCGTGGAGTCTCCATGTTCTCCCCGTGCAGCGTGGGTTCTCTCCGGGTTCTCCGGCTTCCTCCCACAGTCCAGAAACATGCTGAGGTTAATTGGTGATTGTAAATTGTCCGTAGGTGTGAATGTGAGTGTGCTTGGTTGTCTGTCTCTAAGTGTAGCCCTGTGATAGACTGGTTACCTGTCCAGGTGAACCTGCCTTCACCCTGAGTCAGCTGGGATAGACTCCAGCCCCCCATGACCCTGGTGAGGATGAAGGTGTAGAGATGATGGATGGATGGATTGACCTGGTGAGTCTCACCTGAGTCACTTCTCAGTAGGGACGGCAAAAACGAGGCCTCAAGAAACATCGAGTTAATTTGACACGATCAAAGAGCGCCACCTGCTGGTTGTGGGTGTGTGACGCATTAGAAGGGAAGCGTCGACAGCGTCTCCACGTCACGTCTTTCTGTTTCAGAGCGTCTCATCTTTGACTACGTGTTCAATAAAGGACACGTTTCCAACTGTATGTTACCGTCTTCTTCTGTGGTGAACATAAATGATGAACGAGGGCTTTTAGGGCTTTTAGGTGCTGCTGGGTCGGGTAACAGAAGACGATGGTGTAATTTAAAGTACGCTGTAGTGACTTCCACGGTGGCTGAAGAGGCCGAGGACGGGTTCTGTCCGATTGTCTGATCGCTTCCTAAATAACGTACAAAAGTCGGATGTGTTTCTCCGCTCTTTATTAAACGTGATCTGTGATTGGCAGGCGTTACAGTCCTGGGCGACGGCAAACTACTCAAAAATAAAAATAAAGACACGTTAGTCAATCAATGTGGCGGTCAACAAAAGTTACGGCTACCCAGCCCTCCTCTCTCTGGCAAAACCACCACATGACCGACTGTCACCAGCTACACCCACTCCACATCGGTTTCTGTAAACCCAGTAGAAGGTGAGCGGTTGTGCAACGGGGACAGTGATTGTGTTTCCCTCTGGGGTGGATCCATACTGTCGTCATTTCATTTAATATCAAGGAGATGATGAAGTTTATAGATTTTTACTTTAAAACAGAATCTTCAGTCTGCTCCTCTTCTGGCTCACCTCCTGTCCAGCTTTGGAGAAGACCCGCTCACAAGGCACCGGTGTGGCTGCCATGTGCTAATAAAGCTTTGTAAGCCTGTGAAGGTTCAGATAGACGGTGGCACATGAAGCGGGTCTTCTGCTCTGGACAGGTCGGGCTCAGCCAGGTACCGCTGCACCTCCACTGGGGCGTCTGCTGTGGCGCTCTGGGTTGCACCTGGAACAAACAGATCAGGTGACAGAAAGCCTACGTCATGAGAAAATAATGCTGATGCTAATTAGAGGCTAATACAAACCAACTCGGCCGTCCAGGACGTCCCACAGGTTGTCACGGTCTGCTGCTGCCATCACAGACTGATAAAACAAATACGGTTTAAATTACTTTTAATGTTTATGCATCGCACACCACATAAAACCAGGACATGTAGCGTACCTGTGGTGTTGGTGGCAGTCCTCACGCTTCCAGAACATTCAGCCGCTGTCCTGGCATCTTGTGCATCCGTTGCATTCCCAACAGCGATAGTTTGGAAGCAGGGATCCAGGATAGTCGCTGCTGCCAGGACATGAATATTTTCAACGTGGCACCTTTTCTGCAAGAAGTGTTGCAGGTGTTGAGTTCAATGGTTGTAGGACTTTTCAACACTCTTGCTTTTGTTGCCAGCTTGACGCTGAGACGGTCTTTTCAAATGAAAGCTCTGTTGAAGCGAGATGAAACGGTCCAAGAACCTCGACCCGCTCACGAATGATGTCGTACTCATGACAGGAGAGGGGAGGGATGTCCCGGACCAGAGATGTGACCACAGCTCCAACCGGCTCACTCTGTTCATGAAGTATGTGGAGCTCCACCGACCTCCTGAATGAGTTTATGTGCTGGACTCTGGAGGTGTTTCTGGACCTCACACAGCCTCCGTTTGGCCTCGACACCTGATCTGAAGTACGTAGTGATCCTTCTCACCTTGGTACTGATGCTGGTCACAGTAGTACACCGTTCCAGTGCCTTCATATAGATATATATACCTACAACTATATGTGTGTTTGTATGTGAAGGTGTGTGTAGCATCAGTCCTGTGTGTTTGCCTGTAAGCGTATCTACATAAATGTCAACTAAATGCTATTTAGTGGAAGCTAATGCTAATGTGATGCTTTCCCTCAATCTGTTGTCAAAATGTGACGTCTCAAAATCTCCTCTCGACAACCCACGATGTCCTGATCACTGAGCCCCATTTTAAAGCTCTGACAGATTGACAAGCCCCGCCCCTTCCGACGACGCGACGAGGCCTCGCTTGGTGTGGTCACGTGACTTTTGTCATGCTGACACGATGGCTGAGTCAAAAATCACCCACTCACTCCCTACTCCCTATACAGTGCACTATGCAGGGAGCACCTCGGCTAAGAAACATTTCAGACGCTACTCGAGCTGTTAATTATGTCGCTCGTTAGCCGCGATTTGTGCCGCAACAGCGTCGTACAAACACATCAAATCCACAGTTTATCGCGTAGCTAAGAAACCAAATTAAACCCCGTTTATTGTCATTTTGCTGTACATACCAGATGGGAGCGTTTCTTCAGGATCCACTAACTCAAAGCAATTTAAATAAAGTGGTGTTGTGTGTCCACATCACAACCGAGCGCCGCAATGTTAGCCACGTTCACTGTCCGGGTAAAATAACATTTAACAAAACTAACGGGAACGCTCTCTTTCATCTCGTTTCCATTTCCATTCACACAATGCACGACGGTCCATATCGCTGGTTAGTGACCATCAGCTCTACACTACTGTTCACGGTGCATTGTGGGACATTTTGAGTGACTATATAGGGTATAATATTTGTAACTTAACATTCGGACACCCCTACAAACTGACGTACACCCTATAAAGTGCACCATAGAGGGCACAGGGAGTGATTTCAGACACAGCCGACGTCTCAGGACAATCTCAGACACACTCGAGCGTAGCATCACTTCCTCCCTGCTGAAGACGAAGCTGAACACATCAGATCTGAGCTGTGCTGCAACCAATCGACTTTTCTAAAGCATTATTATTCTATTAGTTCCTGTTTTAAATCAGTGATTGTTTCAGCACATTCAGCAGAAGATACACTTTGTAAGATCCTGTACGGTGGCAGATTTTCAAAATAAGAGTCAAACTTGTTGGTGTAACTTTTGGAGAAACTTCTGATTACATTCGTACACGGTTCGTCTGCCGCTGCCTCCCTGTTAACTCACCCATTATGTGCATTAATCAGATTTTTTTGGACAGAGCAGAACCTTGATCTAGTCAGTTTGAAGTGACTTCTCAATCTGTGCATTACATTCGCACGAGAAACGAGAAACGGTCGCGAATCGAGGCTGTTGTAAGATGCAAAACTCCTGGAGGTGAAGGTCAGACAAAGTGGTTTTTACCTAAAACTGCAGCTGTTTGGAAGAATCCCAGCAGAGATTTTCTTCTGTCGCAGCTTTTTTAGTTCAAATAATGAGGCAGAAACGAGCTGGAGCAGATGAAACGGAGCTCAGAAGCACCCGGATAGATCGATTTATGCTCGTTTTACTTTTCCACCAAACATCTGTAACCAGTTCATATGAACTCCTGGAGGTGAAGGTCAGATAGCTGCATCTCTAACAAGTCTATCACACCAAAAACTTCTCAAAAACCCCAGGAGAGGTTCTCTTCTTTCACAGCCTTTTTAGTTCAAATAATGAGGCAGAAACCAGACGAGCTGAGGGGATGGAACAGATGAAACAGCACTCGGAGGCACCTGGATAAATCGCTTTACACTTGCAGGTTTGCATGGATGACGTTGTTGGACTTCTACAGCGCAGCGGGATGCGTACATTGGAACCATTCTGCATCCCGGCTGCATGAACATAATAAATGCTTGCTACTGCTAAATGCTTACAGAGAGATCGGGGATGCAGAACTGTTGAGACGGGCGTGTGGTGAAAGCGGAGGACAGCACTTGTGATGGCATGAACACATTCTACAAGAAAGTACATTCATCAGTAGAAACAGGACAGTAAACGCCGGCCCGCCAGCCGCCGTTTACAAGCCGAGCGATTCTGAACCCGGCGGCGGCTGGTGGACGAAACAAAAACAAAGGCGGGTTTCATTTCCCGCCTTCACAATAAATGTCACAGGTTTTCTTCTAACCTGATTTCTAAACCGTCCCTGGTGACGTTACATGCAGGTTCTCCCTGATTATGCTACTGCTCTGTAAACTACCTACCCATGTTTTTGGACAAAGTACTTGTAAACAGTGATACGAACAAACGGTGACTCCTTCAAACACACTCTCGGTCTCCGCGGCGTCCTTCGTCATGTTCAGGAATCCAGCCTAAACTCCAGCAGGGTTTTCTACAGCAGCTGAAGCTATGTCTCCCCGTTTCAACCCAGTTCATCGCAGGTCGGGCGTCAGCACCAGCAGTCCATCGTTCAGATCCCTAAACGTTGCTGATTTCACGGGGCTCAGTCCTGAAATAAATTAACAGTCAATAAATTAAAGGTGTAGCGTAGAAAAGCTCCGGTTCAGTCCATCAGGGCGGTTTGCTCCAGTGTACAGGTGTTTCACTGAGACCATCCACAAGTCCAAGAAGACTTTTTTTTTTTACATCCAGGTTTGTTGGAGGATCGAACCAACATCAGTCAAGAAGAAGTTCAGGTTTCCAGTTCATCATATGTGGAAAAAAAAAAAACATTTAACAGACCATCCGTTGCTCTCTCGAGGGAAGTTTTTACACTAAAATCCTTCAGCTTGTGTTCTCTAACGTTGTCGTGAAGACAGAATCAAAACTTTTGATCCCGGACGAGCCCCCAAATATGTTACAGCCCAGCTCGCTAAGAGGAAACATGTCAACGCTCAAATGTTGTCCAGCAAAACCGTGAATAACCACAGGACAAAAACTGAGGAAGCTGTGACGTAAACCAGGGTCTGTGGGCGTTGCTAAATCAATGACTGAAACAAAGATAAACGACGGCTAACAGCGCTCCAACTTGGTGAAAATTAAAGGCAGCATCTGCGTGTGGCTAACATACGAACTGCTAACTGTTTGTTTTGGAAAAAGCCCGGCCCGATCTCCAGCAAACCAGCGTCTCGTTACACTAACCAACCAGTAACCACCAGCTAGCAGGTCCAGACAAACACCAAGCTGCTAGCAGGTCTTACAGATTTGAGTTTGTAGCCTAGCAGAGCTGGGATGTAACACGTCTTCGCATTTTTCTTGCTAATATTGAGCCTCGTTGGGCACCAAACCCCCAACAACAAACCCTAAAGGCTGAAGATATCAAACCCTGAGCTCAGTCTGTCGCTCCGGATAAAAAGTCTGACATCGTTAGCCTCATTAATCCAAATTAGACCAGACCAGACCAGTTTGTTCCACTTTTAGCAGCTCTTAGGCCTCGTTCACGCTAATACGGAACATTTTCCTCGACGTTCGGTCCTCATCTTCCAAAATAGTGTTTCAGGTCACTGCAGCACAGATTTTGTTTTACTCGTTGTTGCTTTGTGACTGAAACAACAACAATGGCGGACATGTTAGCATTAGCAATAGCAGGTTCACAAGCTAACCAAAGTCTCTGCTGTGTCCAGTGTTAGCTGGTCTACAGCGCCTGTGGTTGAACATCTACACAAACAGTGAAATGACAGAATGTCCGTCTCTGGTTTTCTGTGTTGTTGCTGTATTTGTGTTTATCGGAGTGTTTGGAGTCATTTCTAAATTTTTGACATTTTGGAAAATCATGTGGACGGATTCTTTTTAACTTAAAGAAGAAGATATTTATTGTGAAAACCCTCCGTGTCAGTGTGGACGAGGCCTCCTTTCCTGTATGTTAGCCATAAACTGTAAATAAGTGATGGACGCCTAAACCTTAAACCTGCATTCTGTCTAACAGCCACAAGGGGGCGACTCCTCTGGAAGTCCGATTGTAACGCTTCATCAATTTACGGTCTCAGTTGCTGGTTCCAAGTCTCCTTTAATACAGCAGGGTGGCTATTAATCAACTTATCTTCCCATTTAGGAGAAAGCATCTAAAGTTGTAGGAACCAGGTCCAGATCCTCACGTTCTCTGCATCTGGATCCTAAACGCCAATTTGCGTCGACCAAATCCAAAACTTGAACCGTTGACCCAGTAGGTGGCGTCACGGTGGCTACGTCCATCTTTAGTTTACAGTCTCTGGAGCGTTTTCCACTGCAGGAACCGTTCAGGCTGCTTTAGGGCGGACCGGGCCTTTGAGCACCAAGAGCTGCTCCTCCAGAACCTCTTTAAGGACTGTTTTCATTGGAGACCCTGAAACGCGACCGTGGGGGTCTCTGATTGGTTAAACTCAGCGGAGACAACAAGCATCTTTTTTGTTCTGACCTCTGGATGTTTTCATCCGGCTACAGAACCTCTCTAACATCAACAACATTCAGTATACGGGCCAACATAGCGGACCTCTACCCCTTAGAGCTGCTTCTATGCTCAGCTGTGGTCTCTCTGGTGGATCCTACGTCATACATGGAAAACAAACGGGACCGAGTATGGGTTTGCTCGTGTTAACCTCCTGTTCAGCTGAACCTGGTTGGAGACGCCAATCCATGCAAACAGCACTTCTGCAAAAAGAAAGCTACGATAGATACAGTCCAGCAGTTTGTCTCCACGTCGGGTCTCTTTGGGTTTTCACGGCTGCTTCTGTTGAAACTCTGTGATTAAAGAACAAATTAAACATCAGCAGAATAAATAAATAAATCCTCTGCAGCCGTGGGTTTGTTTGCAGGAGTTGATGAGATGTTGCACCGCAGGAAGGAATCAGGCACCTTTCCGACCGCCGACAGTCCGGACCGCTGGGCGTCGGGTCACAGTGTGTTGCCCATGCTGCTGCTCACCAGCCCCTTGATGTTGGTGATGGGCCGGACGTCGTGCAGCTGCCGTCTCCGGTCGATGAACGTGGCCAAGCGCGTCGTGTCCAGCGGCGTCTTCGAGTACTCGCCGCCGTGCGCGCCGCCACGGCCCACCCACGGGTGCTGCAGACAGGAAGTGGCGCTGGGCCTCTTCCTGGGATCCTGCTGCAGCGCCGACGACACGAAGTCCTTCGCCGCCTGGCTCACGTCCCGGAAGTACTCGTCCGGGAAGCAGAAGTCCAGGCGGCAGATGTTGACGCAGGTTTCCTCCGGAGACTCGTCCAGAAATGGAGAGACGCCGCTGAGCATCACGTACGCCAGCACGCCCACGCTCCACACGTCTGTCGCCACGGAGACGGGCGTGCCGCGGATCAGCTCGGGTGCTGCGAACTCCGGGTTCCCCAGCAGGAGGTGGACGTAGCGGCGGTGGGCCGACAGCTGGACGGCGTCTCCCAGGTCGATGAGCTTGATGCTGGGCGTCGGCGAGTGGAGCTCCACCAGGATGTTCTCCGGCTGCAGGACAGACAGAACCCAGACTCAGGCTCAGCTCACCAAACAGACAGAACCCAGACTCAGGCTCAGCTCACCAAACA